ATTTAATAAAGTTATAAAAAGGCTTCTAGTTTAATGAGCTAACCTCTCATTCTCAAATAGGGAGGTCTAGTTCAACTGCCATTAAAATAAGTTGAATGTACGGATGGGATGGGCCGAAGCCCCAAAATAAAGCCCAAGAGACACCCTTGAGCACCAAACCAGCCCATACCCAAAGGTAAAGTTTACAAACACAAAAACTTGCCCTAATTGTACTTAGGGATCAAAACACAATTGAGCAAATATGCCAACCACAATCTGGTGAGTGAAGATGGGACTAAACTTACCCTAACATTGTTCACTGTTCTTAGAAATACATCTTTGGTGCTACGAATGTATAATAAAGATTTGTAGATTAATGATACTTTTTTATTTTTCAAAATGAAATATCAATATCAAAATAACCGCGGAACTTAAAACAAAGTGAACGCGCAACTTTCTTGCGTAGTTGTTTAAAAATTTACCTCAACACAACATTACCACTACAAAGTCTATCAAAAGAGGATGTGAACAAAGTGGGTATTTTTTTTTTTTTTTTTTTAATCTTTATATTATCAGATGAACAAATTGAAATGACAATTACTGAATTAGTGTATTTTGAAGGTACTTTAGTTTGTCGAAGTCACTGGTACTAAACACACCAAATAGGGGTTGACTGTCTCCATGTCGATTGAGAAATTTTTCAATTCAGTTGGATTTTGGGTAAGTCTTGTAAACTGTAAAATCTGTGTTCAAGAAGTTATTAATTTTACCCTTCAGCAAAATATCTTAGTTTTTTCTCACCAAAATAATTTAAATATAAAAATATTTTTTAAAAAAATCTTGCAATAGCCAGATTTTTGGTCACATCCATAATCATATTGTAACATTAATTTGATGGTGTTTTGCTTCATAACCTGTCAATGTCAAATTACTTAACATTACCGGCTTGCATGTTAAACTAATAAACTCAAATTGTATTTTTCAAACGTGACAATTTGAGGTTCATTTCTTGATTCTACACTCAATGACCATAAGTACAATCGGGGAGGTAGAGAGAGGAATGGTGGGTGGTGCGGTCTCGGGACGTTGGTGGCTGCTCGACAAGGAAGAGGAGAGACACATAATTCTTATTTGCTAGTTAAATTAATTTTTATTTATTTATTTTAATTTTTAATATTTTAAAATTATATTATTTTAAGAAGAAACATGTTTGGTTTGCAAAAAAAAATAATTAAGATCAAATCCACTATTTTGAATTTTTTCAAGTCTTTAATTAGAATAAAAATAAAATGAGCAATTCTAAAAAAGTAATATTATATTTATTACCCAAATTCTAAGCTATCAATCATTCATATATCTATGATTTTCTTTCCTGTCCAGCAACATATATATATAGTTTTTGATTTGGCCAATCTGTGAGATTTCAATCATATTAAGAAATAGAGAATCAACCATGATTAAGAGATAGAGGTGGGAGTGAGTGACTGGCCAAATATCTAGAATTTTGATTTTGGGAAAGTAAGCATCAAACACGCGGGAAAGTAAGCATCAAACATGGCGTGAATGATAGAGGATAACTTTCTGAAAAGAACAGAAAAAAAGATTGAGAAAGAAGAACTAATAGTTGCCCTGTGCTTCGTTGCCACCGTAAAGTGAAGTGTTCGTTGCCGGAGACAGTAAAGCAAGAACTTAGAGAGGACAGGGCGTGAATATGAACTATGAAGAGAGAATAAGAAAGTAAGTTTAAAAGGTTTAGGAGAGATATAAAAAAGGTGTTAGTAATAAACGTATAATTTTGGAATAAGATGGAATATATTTCCCATATTTTTGTGGGGAACAAATGGAAATAATTTTTTTTTTTTTTCCATGAAATTGGGGCTTTTGAGAACATGTTTCTAAAAATTTAAAATAAAAATAAAATTACCAAACATGGTTATATGACTTATTTCTATTTTCTAGTGTTTTGGAAGCAAGAAACATGAAATAGGAACATTACCAAAGGACCCTAAGTGACAATGTTTTCACTTATTAATTAACGTCAACACTTCAAATTCAAAAAATAAAAAATAAAAATTCATAATTTACAATTACCACTTAAAACTTCAACACTAAAAATTGTCGAATTTTCATTACTCAATTTTCACCTTTTATTAATAGAACTGTAATAATCTCTTATTTGCCTAAAAGAGACTTAAGATGACAGGGAGAGAGATTTCTATTTGTTTGGACCCAAAATATCTTTCTCAAAAAAGGTAAATATATATATATATATATATATATATATATATATATATTTCAGTGTTCGACTAGAGTCTAGGTTGAGGTTGAGGTTGAGGTCGAGGTCAAGTCTATCAGGTTGAGTGTGTAAAATAAGTTGTCAGAAGTTAATGTGTAAGTTATTTTTACTAAGCTTTAATAAAATATTTTATTTAAACTTTTGACAATCAAATATCAAAAAATAAAAAAAATATTTTCTAAAAATATTTTACGTTTAAACAAACCGACCACAAAATAAATAATGAATTCAGTTAAATTTGCTATGGTAATATTTCCTCCTTAAGGTCACCTACGCACTAATAAATGGATCCCGTTCAATTAGGGATATTAAAAGAATATTAGAATATAAGTCTAACATTATAATATTTTTTTAACGTGGATTACTAATTTGATAGAACCAATTTATTGTTGCGGAGGAGCAGATTTTAGCCCAACCTTATCCCCTAGTTCTTGATATACCAGGTTGATACTAGACAGAGACGCCAGTTTTGTTGTAAAGGATTGTACTCATTTGTCAACTACGCCACCTAAGATCCAAATAACAATTTAAAATTATACAATAATATATCAAAGTGACCTATATGAGGTCCATTTGCTCATTCTGTGACGTACTTCGAAAGCTCTGCTGCAGGAGAAAGTCTATTGGCCGGCAAAAGTTAAAATAATATAAGTTAGTCCCTTGTTTTTTCTTTTTCTTTTTTTTCATTTTTTTTTTTTTTTTTTTTTTTTGTTGTGATCCATTCCACTATCAGTTCTATATGAACATTTCAGGGTAACTTACACGGAGTTGTTAATGATGGTAATATTTATTTGTATGTGCGAGGGAGGTGATGGACAAGAGTAATATAAATTTTTAATTAATTCAGTATGTTGTTAATGATGGTAATATTTATTTGTATGTGCGAGGGAGGTGATGGACAAGAGTAATATAAATTTTTAATTAATTCAGTATGTAACGTTAATAAAATATGTTATTGACTTGTGTTGATCATAACAAAAAAGAAATCTATATAGATTTATTTTATTTTTATGATAGGTTCGAGTAATTTCACAAAATATTGAAGAGGTACATGTAATTATGACAAATTATAAAAAAAAGTTCGTGTAATTTATCCGACATCTCACAATCCACTATACGACACACAAGACAACATGAACTAGTTAATAAAGATTAAATGTAGTCAAAAGAGAGTGAGCGTTACTCAACCGGAATATACTTACTAACTTGGGTGGTGTTATCTTGAGGTCGACTTCATGAATTGTTACTGACTGGATCTTTTTTTATCATGATCATATATAAAGATTGCAGGTAGTGCGCCTCTAGCCATCTAAAAATGATTGTATACACTCAAAATTTATATATAATAGCAGATCACACAAATCAGTTAAATTTTAATAAAATTAAATAGTCATGTTTGACTATCTCGTATAATTTATTTTATGATATTTTGAATTTATATATATATATAGCGAGTTCACTTTAATATCATTTACATGACAACATAATTTATGTATTAGTTTTCTTGTCGAAGACGTGTTAATTTAAGAAAAATTTCATGATAATGTTATGAGATCTAAACAAAATTACTTATGATGATGTGTTTGATAGAATGAAATTTGCACTTTGAAAATAGAATCAAATTTTATACCATTTTAATTTTGAACAAGTTTTCAAGTGACTGCAATTTCAAGATGTGAAAAGATCAATGTCAGTAGAGTAACATTAGAAGTAGAGTAACATTAATGTATATAATACTAAATTATCATGTAACAAGGACTAAGAGAATTAAATAAAAACAAATAAATATTCGCAGTCATTAAAAAAAAACCTCAATAACCTTCTCTTTCAGTGAATGCAAAGTAAAAACATGAGACAAAAAAGGTCACCATATACAAAGCAAAAAGACATCTCAAGCATAAAACAAATATAATATAAAATATAATCAGTTGGACAACGACCACTAATTTGGTTTTCAAGTCGAATTTGGACTACACCTTTGAAAATTCAATTTAGGTACACAGCATAACAATGACCTCTGACCCTACGTCCTAAACCATGAACCAATATTATTAAATACCCAATTTTTTATTCGAGTAATTAAATAACCAATATTGTTATCATCGTCACCAACTTGGGCTTTAACTAACCAATAAAAAAACACGAGGACAAAAATAAAGAATAATTTAAGTTTAGAATATATTCAGCAATTTCAAATTGTTATTTCTCAGTTAAATTTATATATATATATATATTTCTCTGAGTTTAATTCATATTATACTGCTTTCAAACTTCAAGTTTGACAGACTTATAAGGTCTTGAGATCTTGATGAATTAGATTGACACTAGACCAAATTTAACAAGGTACAATTTTAAATACTGGTCAATAGCTAATTAACTTAAATTTATGTTATGGTATGTTATGGGCCGAAGATTGCATGTGTTAACAATTTTAAATACTACGTGTGTGTGTGTGTGTGTGTTTGGGACTTGGGGGTGCATTACAGGGTGTTCAATAAAACCTAATACCGCTATCGTAAAAATTAAATTAAAAATAAAAAATAAAAATTAATACTGAAAGCTCACAATGCGGACTATAGAACGTAGATTATCTCTAAGACGCTGATTATAAAGTGTTCCAAATGTATGCATGCATTTCAAGATAGAAGTTCTATAGAATGTTCTAAAAGTGAACTATAGAATTTTCTAAGATGATTTGACATCATTATTGTGGAAAGAAACACACTAACTTGAAGGTTCAAGGCAATGACTCAAAGCCACCAACATGCCCCATTTATACATATATTATCAAAAGGTAAATTCATACATTGATTTTGATTATGCCAAAATAATAGAACCCAAAAAAAAAAAAAAATCAAAATACATAAAACCCATTACCATCTACTGTACATAAAAGCTCTCTTCTTGAGGCAATACCCTTTATGAAAACTAATAAGATTTTTTTTTTTTTAACATAAGATGAACCAATTAGCAGATGACACAAGCAGCATTGGGATCCTCCTCGGCACTTCTATAGTAGTAGTTGACGGGCACGGGGGGTCTCTGATAATAGGCTTGTTGGTATGCCTGGTAGGCCTTGAGAAGCTGCTCATCTTTTTTGGCATCTTCTTTCTTCTTATCATCTCCTTTCTTCCCATCATCTTTCTTGGCCTCATCTTTCTTCCCATCATCTTTCTTCTTCTCAGGCTCTTTTGCTGGTCCAACTGTGACTATCTCTGTGTGACAGATCTTCCTCAGCTTCCCAACTATGGTCACTGGATCTATGTCCCCTGTCACTGTCAGCTTCTTGTCCTTCATTTCCATGGCTATTGAATCAACCCCTGCACAATCAAATACCAAAATTTCAGATCCAATTTTGAGTAATTTTTCATGTTTCAAGATCTGGGTTTTTCTTGAATTTTTTTTTTTTTTTTTTTGGGTCTGAAAATGAAAATTTTCATGTTTTGAGATCTGGGTATTTCTTGAATTTTTATTTATTGGGTCTGAAATTGAAATATTGGTGGTAGTTACCTGTGAGACCAGAGACTCTCTTCATGGCCTTTTGCTTGGCTTTGTCATCATATAGCTCCAATTTCAACACCACTTTCTGTCATAGTAACACCAAAGAGAGTTTGAATTAGATTTAATCAAGCTAAGCTCCAATCAATCAATCAGTTGAATTGTGAGAAGAGACTAGTTAAAACAAATTGGCCAATACCCATATCAAGGACTCGTGTATTGATGTATGTATCTATAATTATACGAGTTCACAACCATAATATATATATAAGAGATGAACAGACAAAAACCCCAACAAATTAACATGATTAAAAAGCTCAATTATACTGAAGCTATGTTTCGAAGCACTGAATATACCTTCGAAATTGAAATCAAAGAAAATTTACTCTAAAGTAGAACTAAATTTTTTACAATTCTAACACGTCGATTCGGCACTTTGCTTTAAAAGAAAGCGGAGAATCTCAACAGAATCACACATGTTGATTAATCAACAAAAGGGAGCAAATTCCACATAAAGGTTTGAACCTTTTATGTACTCAAGAAGTAGAGAGAGAGACTGAAAAAAAAGTAAACAAGTAGAGATTAAACTAAAATCGAAGAAATTAAGTGAGATTTCTAACCTTCATGTTCTCTTAATTGCAGTGATGTGAACAAGAAATTTCACAAGAAATTGCAGATCAAAGAAGAAGAATATTAAAGGTAGAGAGAGTAGTTGTAAGGAACTTGAAAAACGTAGAGATCAGTTTTATAGTGAAAGAGTGTGTGAGTCAACAAAGTCAGGGCCAGCCAGTCTTGGTCAATATTTCTCAGTGGACGAAAACAACTTTAGATGGTTGGGTTCACATAAACACGACGTAGTCTTTTCTCTTCAAAGCAGAGTAAACGATGTCGTATTGTCATTTGCCGGTAAAGCCACTTTTTCAACTTCAATAATTCGAAATCCGACGCCACCAACTTTATAGTAACTTCTTGGAAGAAGCTTAGAAGACTCATGTGTACTACTTCATGTATAAATCACGTGCAGTGAGTCAATGATCAAGTCTTGCTGCTGTCTAATTATATATATATATATAGGGTATATAGTGAAGTAAAGAAGTAATTTCCTCAGATCGGGTTTTGAACTATCAGCATTTTCTATGAAGGTCACATTTAGACATCTGTAAAACGGCTGTTATTCACATCCATTTCCCATTTGAATCGGTTGAAAATTTTATATTACTGTGGAGTACCTTTTGGTTTCAAACTATATTCACCTTACAAAGGATAAATTTAGTCCACAAGAGAACAAAATTCTCTAATGTCAATGGTAGGTTAAGTTTCGTTCAATTTGTAATGCACTTTACGGAAGGTTAGAAATATTTGATAAACATTTTAATTTTTTTATAAGGCACATCCCGGATCATGACCTTCTATTCCACCAAAGAAGATTAAGGTTTATGCACAAGACACATTGCAATTGAACAGCATTAAAAAGGTCAGATGTAATGAAAAAGTTATTTTTTTTTATCGTGTAACCTAATAGAGCAACTTTAAGTTTGTGTAAAAACTCTATCTCTTTTTTGTTTTTTTTATTGTACATTTAAATATTTGAAAGTTCTTACATGCTTTCCGATAATTTCAAAAATTACTTATAAACTTCATTTTTAAGATGTAATTACTTTGTTTCTTAAGAGATTATTTCCTTTTCAAAAGAGATGGAAGAAACAATAAAAAGTAGTATTCAAAATCAGATGAATTTCCCCATGAAATGAGCCCACTTGTCCGGTTCATCAAAGCTTTTTTTAGACAATCTTTTGTTTTAAGAATTGAAAATTGGAATAGTCTCTTAATATAACATAAGTAGACTTGACAATGGATAAAATTCAGATCGAATCGATAATAATTTATATTCATTTGTTTAGCTAAGGGATTATTGAATTTGGATCTATAATAGGTTATCGAATTGAATGTCGCAGTTCATATCCTAATTGACTCGGTTTCGGATCAGATCGGATTCGAATTCGGATTAAAATTGTATAAGCTAAAATGTCTGATTATAAGCTAGTAAACTTAAGAGAAGCAAAGAGTTGTTAATATATAGAGTATAACTAATATATATAATATACATATGTAGATTTTTAGACAATCTTTTGTTTTAATAATTGAAGTTTGGAATAGTCTCTCAACACAAAATAGGTTGATTGATTAATGAATTATTTCTTGTGTTTTTTTATTGTATTTTGCAGGTGAGAAGTTGAGTCTTGGTTTACCACACCACCTCTTTTTCAATTGTATCGTCACAACAATCACTCTTTAATTGCTTAATGATTTATGGGAAGTCTATTTTTGATCTTTGTTCTATGGTTTTTCTATCTCCTGGTTTTATTATTGTTAGTTACTTAGTTTGGTTAACAACAATTAATGCATTTTATTGTTCAATTTTTGGTTAGTGTTAGGTAACTTTCGTGCGAGTTCTTTTGTTTCCCTTTAGGCAGGTGAGTTCAAATACTATTGGTTTTTTTAATTGGGTAATTTGAAAAATATATATTTATTCAGAGGGCACGTGGAATTCCCATCACACAATTTCATGTAGGTTATCCCCACATCACACATTTGTTTGTGAGTTATTTGAATCTCGGAATAAATATTTCTCTGTCTCATTTTAGATATTTAGTGTTTGAGAATAAAACTTTTTAAGAGATTAAATTTTAATATTTTTTGTTACATTGTAATAAATAAAATTTTAAATTTATCCTTTGTTTCTCAATTGAATTGGTAAGAGTTCATAATGATATTTATCCTAAAGAGATTAAATTGGTAATATAATAAAATATAATATATTTTTTAAAAAGATATTACAATTATTGTGAGACAACTAAAAATAAAAATATAGTCAACTACGGAAAATATTGAATGAGTAAAATACATTACCCTCTTCTGAGATTTGTGAAAATACTAGTGAGTTCAAGTTTACGAAAATCTTATACATTAAGGTCTAAATGATGAAGAGTTGTGCATATGACTAATTAAAGAGGATTTTTTTAATATATTTATATGTGTGTGTGGGTAGCTGATGTCAACCCAAAAGTCTATAATAATAATTAATTACTTTTTGAACTTTGCAGAAATTTCAACATGTTTCAATTTAATATTTTTTTAAAATTTAATTGATTGTGAATTTGCCAATAACTAAGGTCTAATTGGTATGCGTTTTGTTTTTGATATTTTGTTTTAATTCGAAACAAAATAAGTGTTGTTGTAAAGTGTTTTGAATAATAATTGAAAGCATGTTTGGTAACATTGATTTGTTACAAAGATTTTTGGAAGCAAAAATATAAAAATATATTTAATAAAAAAGTGTTGGAGGTTTAAAAAATATAATGGTTATTTTAAAAATGTTATTTAAGAGTATTTTAAATTTAAAAAATTACTATTCATTGCTACAGTATAAAATGCTACAGTGCAAAAATATATAAAAATATCAAATTGGTGTTTTAATTTTTGACACTATTTATAAAAACATTTCAATATTGTACAAAATAAAATAATATTTCACATTATACAAAATAAAATATTTTTTATCAAATGCATACCAAACCGGCCTAATCAACCATCACAATTGCAAGCAACCATATAGCTCATGGCTATACTTTTTTAGTTTTAAAGCACCCTCAAACGCTCAAACTGGTTCCTACTCCCGATTTATATATCCAATGTTATATGTATCATGAGTAGTGATAGAAACCGAATAAAATTTGACGTCTCTTTAACACGTGATCTATTTAAACAATTTTCAAAAAAAAAAAATTTGTTCAATAAATATAAAGATATATATATTTTGAATATTCAACCTTATCTTTAATCCAAGACCCTTCACTTTCTCTCTCTCTTCCTTTTCTTTCTTAAATTTCTTTATTTTTTCTATCTAAAATTGGGTCTAAAATTCACTTTCCCTCTCGAAAAATTTACTTATCTTTTTCAAATTCTCTTTAGTTTTTCTCTGCGATTAGGGACTTAAATTTTATTCATTTTCTCTTCCTGAAAATTTACTCAACCTCTCTTTTTCTCTCTGAAAATATTATTTAGGATAAAGTTTTAGAGTAAAATTGTAGCCTACTAATTCAAAATTAAGCTCTGTATAATGTTCAAATCCAAGTAATAGATGTTTAACTTAAACTGAGTAAAAATAAATCAAAGTAGGGTTTTGAAATTAGCTCTAGTAAAGTCATGGAGATAGAGAACGTCCATGTTTAAAAATATGTATATGCATCTGTAAACCTAAAGTGATGGTGATGGTGATGGTGATGGCAAGAACAGGAAACCCAATCTTCTCGTTTCACAATATTCAACCAACATTTTTTGCCCTTGAATTTTATCACGTGAAAAAGGATATTTTATACAAGTAGAATATTTAAAAAAATATTAAGTGGCAAAACCACATCAGATTATTTAAAAAAATATTAAGTGGCAAAACCACATCAGATTCATTGCCTATTCGAAATTATTATAAGTGTCCCTATCATGTCCATCTCAAGATTTTCTAAAGATTTATGTTCAATATAATGACTTATATCCAACATTATGACTTTAAATCATATGTGGGGCTTAATACTAAAATCCAAATTAAAGCTACTGTCATGCAAAGTAACTTTTAAATTTCGCGCGTTGAAAGTCCAATACACGTCATCTCCACTCACATGAAAAATAAAATAAAATAAAAATGATATCATTAACCTTTATTTATGCGTATAAATCATGAAAAAAAAAGAAAGAAAATGATAATATTTTTGTTTAGAAAAAATAAATAAAAGAAAAGAAATAATAATAATTATATTACTTTATATCACGTGATAAATTTGCAAAAGATAACTATCAATAACTCTAAATCTCTCTCAATTCTTTCTTCTCTCTCTACTAAAAAGATAAAAGATATTCCAACACGATTCTCATTATTCATTTTTTTTTTTTTCCCAATTCACTCTATCCAAACGAATTAGCAAAATTAATTGTTTGCACCAAAGCCCAAGCAAAAAAAACACTGAAACATACCCTGCAAATCATTTAAATATACTAACTTTATTGTGTCTTTAATCACGTGCATCACTGTGAACATATTTACTTTATAAGTATATAATGGCCTAAATATGTTTCACCGAAAAAGGGGAAAAAATATATATATATATTTCAAAATCGTTATAATGAATTTTGTTTACTTTATTATTACGAATCCAAAATCAAAAACAAAAAAACAAATAATAAAAGCTCGTTGTGAATGTGGGATCCACCCATTGAATATTGTGGCATAAGCTATCACCAACTAGTTTTGGAGGCCAGTTAACGTGGGGAGCACAAAATTGGACTTGTGGAGCAAGTAAAGGGCTTGTACAAAAATACAAAAACGTCTTATGGATGGGGTATGTTTGTTTGCTGAACGAATTTTGCGGATCAACAAGTAATGAAAACTTGTTTTCTTTCTCTTCTCAATCATTACTTCTTTTATTTTCTTTTGGAAACCTTTCTTTGATATATTAATATAATTATAATAAGGTCTGATTTATATCTATTTTTAAAACTTAATAGAATTGGTTGGAGTCTTAAATTTGGTCCTTAATTGGGCTGGTCGGTCAACCTTCATAATCAAGCCCAATTTGGGCCCAATTCGAAGCAAAATATGGTTGCATGGTTGGACTTTTTTTGCGTCAGGTTTGAGTCACGAGTCCATCAATGTATGGGCTAGTCTTATTACTACATTCGTCCCATAAAAGGTGGTGTTTTTTTTGAAGAATTAACTTTTTAAGAGAGTAGGTTTTAATATTTTTTTTTTATTATAGTGATAGAGAAAACTATACCCCATCTACAAAACCTGTTTATTTTTTAGAATGAGTAATTTTTAATATTTTTTTATTATAGTGATAGAGAATAATTTTTAAATATACTCTTTTATGATGGGATTGTGTATTTTTAGAACTTCAAGACAATGAGGTATTAGAATTTGATTTGGGACAGTTATTTTTAGATAGCAAATAATAATAATAATAAATAATAAAATAAAAGCAAAAGAGTGCTTTGAGGATGCCAATACGCGAGTATTATTTTTATAAAAATATTTAAGACATAAGAGAAGAAAAAATAGTATATATGTAACCTAATTTTTAATGGCGAACTTTTAAAATAAAATAAATTATATCAAAATTGTAAATATATTTTTTCATTTCTTTTTTATTATGATGAATTTTTAACCATTTTTTTTTATTCTATAAAAATAAATTATATCTATACATTCACAAACACGTATTTTAACGATACCTTATTTCAGTGTAGGTGCCAAAAATTCCGAAACAGAACTTCAAAGACCATCACGTTCCCCCTTCCTTCGAGTCCTGCTGGATTTTGGGCATTTATTGGGCCCACAAACTCTTTTTAATGATCTGAATAATTGATTGGGACCAAAGTCTTCCCCCATGCGTTCGGCCCACCTTTTTGGGTCGATGTGAATATGTGATTTAAATACCATTCGTTTGGGCCACCTTTTTGGGTCGATGCGAATATGTGATTTAAGGAGAAATACTTTACTGGTTGTATCAGTGATGTGATTTCTATACGATAAATCTAAAAAAAATAAAATATTAGTAGGACAGTAATAAAAAATTAATAAATTTTATTTTATATATATGTTTATAAATTAATTTTTTGGTCAATTTTTTTAAATTATTATAAACTAAATGCAATTATTAATATAAAATAGAAGTTGGTTTCGCAACACATAAATCAAGCATCCCTAGCCATAATTTAATAGCAAATGCCTCGATAGACCAGCTCGGATCTATTAAGGGCCGACCCCCCCACTGAAATTTTTTACTTTTACATTTTATACCTTTAAATATATTTTTTGTATTTATACCTATAAAATTTTGAAATTGACCTCACTGAAATTATGAAAAAAAACCCCTTTATATAAATTTGCCCCCACTCATATGAATTTCTAAATCCGTCTTTGTCCACTAATTTAACTTCTAACACTTTTTGCCTTGAAAAAAAAAAAAAAGTCTATCACTTAATAAAATTTGATTTTTTTTAAACAATTATACCATATTATTATTGTTAAAAAAAAACATTCATTTTAATGTTCAAACTTGTTAAAAATGTGTTATGAAGTATCCGAAAAATGTTTGATACGCAGTGCATTTTAATGTTCAAACTTGTTAAAAATATGGTATGAAGTATTTGAAAAATGTCGGATACACAGTGAAAATACCAAAAAATATTTGAGAATTATTACGTTTAAGAAGTATCAAATACATATCGAAAAATATTAATAAAATATCAGTACGCAACACGTATTTGATATAGTACGTTGCTCTCCTTAAATTTTCGTGCTTCTTAAAATATCACCAATTGATTAAGTAATAGGACTCACTAAAAAAAATTACAATTGATGGCACGGAGTAATTGATTAAGTCTTGTTGATTATAACATGCGATTGCAATCCTCCATTGCACACGTGTTTGCATTGGATTTTTCCCTCCATAATCACTAAGCTATACAAACCCTCAAATAACATCAAACTTTCCGAAGACGAATTCTTGGCCATCATTTTGGACGTTTATGAATTCCTTTCTTCTTTAAAATTGGAGACATTCTGATTGAAAGTGCAATCAAATACCGTAATTTAATGTTCTATAATTAATACTGTAAATTTTTTTTTTTACTTAAAATAATTAATACTGTAATTGCTCTGCTTACATTTCACAAAAGACTAAAGTAATCTTATATTTTAAATACAGTATATATTTTTTATTACATTGTAATTGTGACGATGATTTTAGAAGAGAAATTACAGGTTGTTTGAAGTAATCTTATATTTTAAATACAGTATATATATTTTTTATTACATTGTAATTGTGATGATGATTTTAAAAGAGGCATTACTGGTCGTTTGAGAAAAATCCAAAGACGCATTAAAGTGCTAAAGGTAAGCATGTTTGAGCCAAGTGGGGAGCAAAATAAAAAAAATTAAATTATTAATATTGCATATGAAAATATTGTCGATGGACAGAATGTTACGCCTGTACGAGCCTGGAGCCCCCTTTGACATCTTCGAGTTTTGGTGGATTGTTCGTCTGTCAGGGTGATAATTTCTGGTTTATTTCTGGTTTTGGAGACCTAATGAACTAGCACCAACTGTTTTTTGTATAGGTGGCGCAGTGTTATTGGTCAGTAAACAATACTCCGCTGAGTCTTTGGGGGAGAGAATCCAAACCCAAAAAAGTCGGCTCTTTTCATCAAAACCACATTTCTTCACATTTTCACTCGCAATCTGACCAGCTTAGCAACGAAGCACAAACCAACCCCCTCTTATCTCTCTCTCACACACAGTTACAGTAGTTACATGGTGTCTCTGAATCCGAACTCACCGGAAGGCTTCTACTTGGATCCGACAGGAATGGCCCTTCCCGGTATTGGCTCTTTCTCAACACCTGCGGCCACAGCAGCTGCCAACACCACGTCGACGGCGGAGGATCCGAGCAAGAAGATCCGGAAACCCTACACCATTACCAAATCCAGAGAGAGCTGGACCGAGCCCGAGCACGACAAGTTCCTCGAAGCACTCCAACTGTGAGTCACTCCAATTTCACCTATGGTTTAGTTCTGTTTTCAGTTTTGGAATTCCATTTGGTTTGATTGTTTCGACTTTGGAATTGAATTAGGGTTTTTGTGTCAGAAATTTTGGATTTTGAAATTGGAATTGATGTATGGGTAATATGTATTTGGTAGTCCCGTGGATTTGAATTGGGTTAGGGTTCTGTGGTTTGAAACCAAATTATTTGTTAAGTTTAGATTTTATTTATTTATTTTGTTTGTTTGGGTCTAAAAGTTCATTTGTACTTCAAATTTTAAGCCAATGTGATTGTTTCTGTAAAAGGGTATTTAGCTTTATTTATCTGTTGGGAGAATTCAATAGAGGATAATAGGAGCTACAGATTTAGGAACACTATTAGATAGACAATGAAAATGTTGTAGCTTATTTGTACACATGGACATACCTACCTTGTCTTCCACTATATGTCTTTTAACTGAAGAGTCGGACCTGTAGTTTTTAATAGCCTTCATGGCATTTAAGGAGTCACCTTCAACCACCACCAAGGGCTGGAGCCTAGTGGTATCTCCTCAGCCTCCCAGAGTAAGGTGAGCGTTCAAGTCCCCAAAGGGGCAAATGAGTGGGTGAGTTTCTCGCCAAAAAAAAGAAAAGAGTCACTTTCCACCACCATTTCCCGTGGACCCATATTAAAGCAAACTTGAAGATAATCTTTCATGTGTGTTGTTGAACTGTAGTTTTTATATATCTTAGAGGTAGAAGCCATAACCTTTTAATGGTTCTGAATGCAACTTCAATGCCTATTCTATCGAATGAATCTGCAAAAACAGAGATTGATCAACCATGATATTGTAGCAACCAGCAATAGGAAAATTACATATCTCAACGTATCTGTTTAAGTTTGCCTACATGGAAGTTTATTTCTTGGTTATTATGTTAAAATTATGCTCCTAATCATGGTTGTTGGCCATATTGATTGCAATTTCTCAAGAAAATAATAATGGGTAGTAGTATGATGGGTAACAATGGCCACTATGTATATGGAACATATGAACATATCTTATCATTACTTTGGTTCTAGAAATGATTTATGGTGGTCTTAGGTCAAAGAGAAAGCAAAGTGTAGAGAATGAAAAGAGGAATTAGAAGGAAATGCTGCTGGTGGGATGATGATGGTGGAGGTGTTAGTGGATGGTTATGAGGGTGGTGGTATTTTGATGGGCCGGTGGTCTTGGTGTAGGGACAGAAAGTAGAGAAAGAAGGATAAAGTAGAGAGGGTAGAGTTAAAAGGAATAAAAATATGACGGTGGTGGTAGTGGGATGATGATGGTGAAGGTACCGTGTATGGACCTAATGGTAATGGTTGGGGATGGAGTTCAGTTGTTGTGCCCTATGGCCTTATGGGTTTTAGCGGAGGAAGGTGAGGAAAAGGGAAACCTCACAATGGAGGTCCCTATGGTTAAAGGAAACCTCAATGGAAGTTAGTTTATTAAAGAAAATTCAGAAAAAAAAATATTCACTCTCTGTCTCCCTTTTTGCACATTATTGTTTGAAATTTTCAATGGTCCGATGCATGTATATGTTGCACAGCATTAATTGTTGATACTAGTGTATTTGAAATAGTTGAGGAGTGTTTGGAACCAATAACTATTTCAGATAGAATATTCAATTAGTTATGTCGCTCTCCAATTTTTAGTGAAAAGGGTTTTTTGGGAGCAATTGAAGAGTTGCCACCTAACATTAAGTTTATGCATGTTAGAGAAGTTTTGAAAAGAAATGTTCTTAAAAAGACCTTTTCTAAGGAAAAAAGAATATTTTATCTTACAGTGTTTTATAATAGGCCATTTTATTCAGTAATTGCATAGCTAGTTTATGCAACCAAAATTATAGATTCGGGGGCTAGATTATGCATGGAGGAGATGTTAGGTAATCCAAAATATTCATAAAAATGGTCATGAAATTTCTTTAAATTAATCCAGCAACTTCTATAAATTAAAATTTATAGTTTCGTTCTTATAATAATTGAAGCAAAAATGAAGTGAGTCTCGTAGAGCTGGGGAGTTGAGTAAGGCAATATTTGTTTGGTAAAGCGTGTCCAATAAATACTCTCATGATTAAGTAACTTAAATATCTCCTTGGGGTAATGAAAATATGGGCTTAAATAAGTTGACAGAGGATTGAATATGGAGTTCTTGATAGCATGCACTTCATGTTTACCTTGTGTAAGGGTAACCATATTAGATTAGAGAAAATCAAATGTACAATATATTATAGTACTTTATGTTTAACCTTAAGACATACTAGAATTTGCCTCTTGGTAGTTACAATGCATGGAGAGTGATCTAAATTCAGAGAGCATAAGTTTGTATGCATGTTTAGGAAAGTAAATGTTATGAAAGAAAGTGGTCTATACTCTATAGAGCATGAATGTTTTGGAAAGGAAAAGCATCTTAGAAAGTAAAAATGTTATAGGAGGCAAAAGTATTTATTTTGTAAAGATAGGTTCTTTTAGAAGTTGGTTCCTTGCAAAAGCAGTAGAAATAAGTTTTTGGACCACTTTTAATATCACTTGATTGAATTATATAAATATAGAGATTAAGATCTGCACTCATCTATTATCACATTAACGTATTTCCAACTACATAATAAGTGTGGGTTATCTGAAGGGGTATAGCATGCCGGTGCTGTATTTCTTGGTAATACACTCAAAACAGTTCATCCTACATTATTCTTGTGAACCAAAGTGCAGATTTTCCTATTCTTACCATTTTAACTGTTATTTGGGTATTTATGGTTATTGAGCACTTCATTATGCCAAGTTAGTATAAGGATGTTTTGCTTTTGGTTTATGTTTTACTTATGAGTATTGTACAAGATCCCTAATTGGTTTTGTTTCCTTAATCTGTAAACAGCTTTGACCGTGATTGGAAAAAGATTGAAGCATTTGTTGGCTCAAAAACTGTCATCCAGGTAATCCCAAGCGAAAAATTTCTGATTTGATAAAATTATGTAACATTATTTATTATTTCATAATGATAATTAGTGTGTCTTGCAATGGTAGACCTTTTTTTTTTTTTTTTTTTTTTTTTTTTTGAGTTACCTATTCCGGAGGAGATTTACTATTTAACACACTCATGCACCCGTATGCATTCAAATGCTCACTAGCAGAGGCACGTTACACGCTCATATTGCCTTGAAAATAGCAATAGCAAGTTTTAGTCCATGATACTACTTGCGCGCATCATGTAATAATTTGGAGTATAATTGGTGGCTTTGGCCTGCTGAGCAAAAATAGGGAACTCAATTATATTCAAAATAGTTACTTATAAAAAAGAAATAATAAATAAAAATAAATTATATTCAACATAGTTGCTTTGGCCCAGCCTTTTTACTTGTGCGGTTGGGTTATAATAAAGCTTCCTTGACTCATTGCAACCTTTTTGTACCATTGGTGAAGAATCCAACCATTTTTTTTCTTATTGACAGTAGAATTTAAAATTAAAGTATTTTGATGATTGAAAGAAAGCTATATTAACTATTATTGGCTATCTTGAATTACATGCCTTTCACGTATGTTCTACTATCGACTAAGCGTGTTGCATTTCTAAATTTGACTATCCAAGATATTCAATTTAACTACCTCCTACAGTCACAACGTTTAAATTTGTTACTTCCACATTATGTTCCACGGGCACTCATTCCGCAGTTAGTTCTGCAAAAATGACAAATAATATCTCGATCAGTCCATAGGTTGATTTAGTTTATTTATTTTTCTATAATTTGCATGTAAATGAACATATACCTCGATCATTCCATAGATTGATTTAGTTTATATATTTTTCTATAATTTGCATGTAAATGAATGCCATATGTCAAAAAGAAAAGGAATAAAAAGTAAAAGGATAATTTTGCAGATACGAAGCCATGCACAGAAGTACTTTTTGAAGGCTCAAAAAAGTGGGACCAATGAACATCTACCTCCCCCTCGGCCAAAAAGGAAAGCTGCTCATCCCTATCCGCAGAAAGCCTCAAAAAATGGTCAGAATGGCTCATTTGTAGTATACTTAGTTGTCATGAGTAAATTTAACCGTGACTCATATTTGTCATATGTGGCAGCTCCAGCGATATCACAATTTCAGACTTTGCCTGTGCTACCTGATCCTGGATTTGTACCAAGGCCGGATTCTTCTTCTTTGCAAAGGAATCCAGTAACTAGTGCAGCTGTGTCTTCCTGGACTGACAACTCTGTGCAAACAGTCAGTTTATCACATATGACAAAAGGTTCATCCAGTTTCATCTGTTCTATTTTTACTATCATCTCCTGATCTCACATCCGTTGGCATGTGTGGCTTATTGCACTGAAATATAATTTAAATTATGTCTCATGGGACAGGTGATATGAAATCTGGGCAACTGGTGACAAATCACTATTGCAGTAGCACTGAGAGCACTCCAAGAACAAGGCCAACGGGTGAAATGATTGATCAAGGAAATCATTGCCCTTCATTGAGAGGTAACTTAGTGTCACTTCATACATCTACTTGTGACAGAGAGAAAATTTAACTTAGTAGTTAGTACTGAAAGCTATGGAAATCTTATGGATATTGCCACTTCTCATTTTTCTGTTAACATGTAAGAGCAAAGCCCAAGTAGAATGTTCATGCATCCTGTAAATGTTATTGGAAAATTTGCTAGTATGAGATTGTTTCCCCTTGAGAAATGTCTGCCATCCACCTCTGGTGGCAAGTTAAAACCATGTTCTATTAGAGCCCTGAACATATAAAACTAAATTCCAGACACGCATTACAATCTTGAGGGAGAATTTGTGAAGTTCCAATATTCTCTTCTTTTGACCGCTATATAAATCTAAGTAGAAAAATATGGACACGGTACATGGATCACGGACACGGACACGATACGACACAAATACGCCGACACTCCCAATTTTTGAAAAATAGGACACAGACACGGCTAATATAAATATAAATTTTTGTTTATTTATCTATTGAATGAGACAATTATAGAACTTTAATTAATTTATAAATTCTGTACTAAATTTGCATAAGTTAGAAGATGACGCTATTCAAATATCAAAATGAATATGTTATATTATACGTAGTAGTTGATATTACTATGATATCTTGTCATTATATATGTTTTTGTTCCTTAGAGGTTGAACACGTTGATATATGTTCATAGTGCTATTTTCAAGACTGTTGTGTTGTATAAGACAAAGAGTGTAAGATGTGTTGGTCGAGTGTCCGGAATGTGATGACTAGTGGTCTTCTAGATGTGTTGACCAATTGTCCAAGATGTGTCGGCCAATTGTCCGAAATAATAACATTTATTTTTAAATAATGGACACGGCCATGAAGTTTTGAGCACGCATTTAGGAGTGTCCATGGAGTGTCAATGGTATTGGACACGGACACAACACCTCATAGAAGTATCCGTTCTTCTTAATATATATATATATATATATATATATATATATATATATTATATTATGTGTATCGACAATTATAGGTAAAGGCCTCTTCTTAACTTTCTATTGAACCTCAAATCACTATAGAAGTGGTACTAACTCTTGAAATTCTATTAAAAAAAAAACCCCCAGAAATTCCAGAGCTTTGGGTTTCAAAGCATCAATTCTGGACTTCCAGTCATAGATCTTCCCTTGCTAATACTTTCTAACTAGTGTTGTTACAAAATTTTAATTAATTCTCGTCCTAGGTACTCCTTGAATTTTCTAACTTAAGATATTGTTCCGCTTTTAGGTCGGTACATGAATCTATTTAAACTCCTAAATAAACTATACCATTTGATCCCTCAATCAGTTGAAAAATTATAACAAGTTGCATCAATGAGGAAGACTTGTTTTACTAGTGGAGACTCCCCCGCCCTGCGGTAAACTGACTAGTGGAGTTGAAAAAATATGATTTCCATCCCCTGCTTTGATACTTCTTGAATGTTCAAAATTCTGGCTTCTGTGACGTTGATAAATTGTTGTATGAATTTATGCCTTACATGTTGTGGCCTCTCTTGTTTGTTTGTTTGTTTTTTTTTTTTTTTTTTTTTTTTTTCCTAGTTGGTACTCACACACACATGCCCCTATTGAGGCTCGAATCCCTGGCCTCTCTTTGAGAAGTAGGGGCTTGGTACGGTTAGGCCACTGCCTGTTGTGGCCACTCTTGTTTGTGTCAACTAAGAGGCGAAGGGGAATTTATGGAACTCCATTATTAGTCAACATGGATATTGGCATTGGAAATACAGAAATTTTCAAAATCTAGAGAACAGAATATATATAAACCACACAGACCCAATCTGTCCCATTGGGGACTTGAACCCTCAGCCTTCCATTTAGAAGGACAGGAGATCCACTTGGGCTAAGTCCTTAGTAACATGGGAACATAGTTGTTTGTGTGTGTATGAATTTACTACATATAACATTTACATCTTTGTGGAAATTCTGAAACTATGATTACTGGGTATTAGTAGTCACAGTTAATAAAACATAGTGAGTGGATGTGAAGCCTTTTGCCTCAGAGTTACACAGAGGTAGGCATGGCAAATCAGCCTGAAAATTGGTTAACCCACCCTTATTGGGATGCTTCTGGTTCTGGGGGTTGATAACCAGAGTAGGGGCCTTTGGGGGAGAAATATGATTGAAATTCTGGTTCAAGGACAAGGATGAGATTCACTAACTCCCACCCCTTTGGTACTGATTAACTATGACTCTTAGTATTTATACTTGTTTCGTAAAAGCTAAAGGATTATCTCACATTAAAATTGAAGAGAAAGAAGTAGCTTGCCAGCATATATCGCTATCTAATGGTTGTCTGTGTTCAGTGTCTTGGCATCACATGGCTTGCTCTTTCCTACAAGTACATGTACATGTGCACATTGGAGTGTGCATCATTTGCCATGCGTCTGTTCAAGTGTTATAAATGTTAGAATATTGCGAGTTTCTTACCCAGTGGGAATCTGCTTTGGTCTGTGACAATTGCTGCCCTGCCTGCTTATGTGGTCGGGGCAAGTTTGACTTTTTAGATTTTCCCCTTCTCAGAATAGTTTTGGGAAAGGGGTGCTAATGCAACCAAGGGTTTGTCTAAGTTTTCCAGCTTTGTTTGGAGAACCTTAACAAATGTTAATGATGCAGGCAGATTTTCAAAAACTTAAAAGGAAAGCTGTTGAAAATCAGAAAACTACTCAAAATAAGGAATCTTTCAGAATATGGAAAGTTTTTGAAAATCTGCCTGCGTCAGTTAATTGAACACTTAACTTTAAACTGGCAACTTATCATCCACAAACAAACTTCTAATAAAAATCATGCAAACATAGTAATGCGAATAATGCTGAAATTTATAGCAAGCAAAAGTAACAGTTAGAACTTGAAAATTGTCAACAAGAACTCAAGGATTAGCACATAATTGCTAGTGAAGTAAATGACTTTCATATGTGAAGGGAAATAACTGAGAAATTGGGTGCATGAAACAACAAAAAATATGCACCAAGGATATAATGGTTGAAAAGGAAATGGGTTAGATTGAAGGGATGAGGGAGAAGATAGACGAGGGAGGGAAATCTGGGCAGCAGCCTCCTTTCTTGCAAATGATGTCTAAGACCTTCAGTGTTATGGCAAGTGCATAATACCAAAAAAAATAAGATACCACCCTATAAGAAGACTAATCTAATAATAAAGTACAATACTTAAATTGCCCAAACCTATGAACAAAAGGGAAAATAATGTAAAGAAGATGTAAAGAAAAGGTTCCATTCCTCTCTATCCATCCAACTTTTTTATGCAGAAAATTGTGGTGGGTCTCCATAAGGTCATTCTCTGTTTTCTCTCTCCTTACCATTCCCTTTGCTATCTAATGGACAAATGAAATTTTTTTCCAATTCCTACCTTGTTCTTCTAGGTTCCCAACTTTACTCTTCCTTTTAACCAAATGAAGCAAAAGTGTTTAAATTTATGGATTCATTCAGCTTAAACCATAAAAAAAATAACTGAGTGGTTTCAGGTTAAGTTGCCGAAAGAAAGGGAAAAAAAAAAAAAAAAAAAAAAAAAAGAAGAAGAAGAATAAGAGAGAAAAAAAAGAAAGAACAGAAAATAAAATGCAGTCATTGACATTAGTTGATAACTAGTTGTTTGGTTAGATTAGTGATTGTGTTTTATTTACTTTTAATGAAATAATTTAAATGAAATATATAGAAATTTGAGGATGTGCATTCTGAAAAACCTGTTATAGAAGTCGAGCAATATTCATTATGGTTCATGGTTCCATGTGCCATGAACTTCCTTTCTGGAAGTTTTCCAGTTAACTAAAGGGTCGAAAGGATTTTGATTTTGAAAGTATTATTTTTTATAAGCAATGATAAATATTTTAGATTTAGAAATCAGCAACATAGAAAGAAAATAAATTTTGACTGGGTCCTTTTATTTTGGTTTGATGTATGAGACACATTTCATAAAACATGACAGGAATCAACACGTGACACAGAATATATTACATGGATTTGGGTACGTGTGTTTGGTGTGGGTGTGTTTTTAAGTATCGTATTTCTCAAATCCACAGATAATGGAGATGTGGACGCATTAAAACATTCATATTTCTTAATATCTTCATTTGCTAAAAAATATAATTTTTATGTAACAAAAAAATATTCAATAGAAGCATTTCACTTGTTTTGAAGCAATAATGTAGCAAGGGATTACATTTGGAGTTTTATGTGCAATTAAATGATGAATTATTGGATAGGTTGTTAGTTGCATGTGCGATGTTGGACACATATTACATATACCCAAGTGTCATTTGTAAGACAAAAATACTTAACTCATTTAGAGGAGTCTCTGAACATCATTACAATGCATTACACATATTCTTTACTTACAATGCATTCACTCACTAAACCTCCAAGCACATACCCATCACCAACATTACCAAACTCATAAGATCTTCCAAATATAATCATCACCACTTTGTTCAGAACCCAAAATGTGAAAGTATAAAGCCTTTGTACAAAAGAAAACGAAAATTCATTTTAGAGAACTAGAAGCACAATACAAAATATGAAATCAAATGTTGTCTTCAATTACAATTTACAAACATCCCAACTCAAATTCCACCCCCCCAACCACCCCCCCCCCCCCCCACCCCTCTTCTCTCAGGCGCGCGCGCGCACTACAATATCCAAATCTTCACAAGCTTTAGATCTTCTAATACCAGAACAACTTCAACATTTTGGTAAGCATTAATCTCACACAACTTCCCTGGAAAATGCCCCGTGTCTGGATTTTCCCGAGAAAGTGAAGGAAAAATTAAGAAAAACCAGAGTAAAACAGAGCTGCTGATATCTAAGGGCCTATTTGGGAAGTGTTATGATATTGATATTCAAATTTGGCCCATATCATGTTTGGGACGGCTGATATTGGTATGGAATAGTTCATAACATATCAAATTTTTTTGCCAAAACCCATATCACCAAATTGGTGATATTGTGTGTTTTGGTGCTATAGCGGAGGAACTAAAACAAATTTTCGTTACCAAACATGGTTCCGATTTCTACCCAAAACACTTTTACAACAAAACGGTTGTTTTGGTGTTGACCAAAAACACGTCGTCTAAAACACATCGCATGCCAAACGGGTCCTAAATGTTCATAATAACATTGTAATTTCATAAATTGATCAGCTCTCTGTATCAGAACCAGCAATATTTTCTCTCTCTAGACTTTTTCTATCTATATATGTATATATATCTCTGCCAATTTCTTCTCTGCAATGTTTGGCCTTCTGGCCTCTCTACTAATGGATGCCACAATAGCACACTGGAACCCTAAACAATAAAGCAATGAAAATGTGCATACTCACATCAGTAGAAACCCATGAAGACCCCTAGCTATTCATCAACACTGCCGTATAGGATTCATAACCCTATATCATAACTTACCGATATAAGGGAGTTAGAGGTTGAGGTTATGGGTTGAACCTGTCTTATATTGAGGGTTAGGGTTTTTCTTTCAGGATGGTAATTGACCTTCTGGCCTTTCGTCAAAGCTGCCGGGATAGGATCGTCATTTTGTACACTTAGTGGTATGTGTGTGTGTGTATATACATTAAACCCTTGGATCCAAAATATACATGGTTGGTAATAAAAATACATGATTGGTTGAGGGAGGCGAGTGTAATTTTTCAAAACTAAGGGGAGGTTTCTGTAATTTACCCTATTTACAGGAGAGGTAAGTGTAATTTACCTAAATTTTAAAGGGCCTTGCCTTAAGGTGAGTCTCAGGAGCAACTTTATCCATATCTGAATGTGTCTTGCGATACCTTCACATATTCGTATCAATTTTGAAGATTTTTTTTGTCTGCAGTTATAGATAGATAGTTGCATCTGTAAGCATTCTGAAAATGGGTGTTGACATCTTCTTATGGTCTGGTCTGAAAAGTTCACTCATTTTCTCTGTAACCAACCCATACCAAACTAGTGCTTAATTGAATGAATTACCAACCCTTTTGGAGGAAGCATTTAACCGAATGAATTATGGATTCTAGATGATACTTTACATAATTAGCATGATATGATAGATACATAAATGATGGATTTATATATATATATAGCAGGTATCTATTTACATAAGTATAGGTGGGTGTTCAATTATTATACAACTTGGTTGTTGGTTTCCGTACATCTATGGTATTTTGTTTTTAATCAACATGTTTGTTGTATGTCAGTAGTGTTTTGGAGATGACTACATTGATGTATTTATGGGCATGTGCAAATGGGTGTTGACTTTTAAGATTGGTTCGTTAAGCACTTGTGTGGCAATGAAATCCTAACTATAGACTTTCAGGTAAAGTTGAGTGATTGGATGAAAATAAAGAAGAATAAGTCTCAAATTGGTGCAAGGCAATGGTTTATTTTGATTAAATTAATGGAAATTTTACCACCATAGAATAGGCTTACGATTTGGATTTCAAGAGTGTTAAAGGTTTTGGAATTAGTAACTTTTGGCCTTGTTGTTACATGTCACCACAGAGGTATAGGATGATGACTGTAGTGAGAGATGGAGACTATGGGTTATGGGTTTGAGGTGACCAGTACTTTTAACCAGATAAATTAGGAAAATGATGGGATTTACAGCACACCACTTGGGTAAAGAGAACAGAGTGTGTGAGTCTTCAAGGTGAGTCTTAGCCAGTTATACCAACTCTCTCCCAATCTGTTTTTACGGATCTGCTCACATGCCACCTATAAGCAGTATTAATACTATCATTATTATTTAGTTAAGGTAATTAAGGATCCCTTGACTGTGAATTTAAGTTTTTATATGTTTAAAGTAATAATTAAGTCGTCGTGATTAGTGACTATTAGAGATTGTTGGACTAGGTGGAGGGGTAATGCCAGATTAACCTTATAATGATGGTCAAGATTATTGGATTAGTTAGGCATGGTCCAGGACCTGCTTATTGCAAGTGTGCTATTATTGATATAGTCATTGGGCAAAATGTGCCCTTATTATGTGGACGTGGTCAGGGACCATCTGGGTGAGACGTACAACCCACCCACATGTGTATTTGGTAGTCCGGACTATGCAATCCACACCATTTAATTGGAGTGGAGCTTGGGGCTCATGTGAGATATTGGCGATAGAACGCTAATTGGTTGAGGGGAGCCTGGGGCTTATGTGAGGTAAGTGGAATTTTAGTAATTTATTTTTAGATGGGTTACAAGTTCACAATTTGAGTTGATGTTATAGAAGGACATCATAGTTGGCACAATTGTAATCGAGTCATTTTAATTATTAGATAGTTTGATGTTTTATAGATATTTCATAGTCACTTATAGACTAGGAAGCACAAACACTTCTATAAAGGAGTCGTATCCGTGTCAGATACCGGCACTCCTCGGACACTCCTCAAATACGTGTCCGACACTTCATATGCGTGTCCGACACTTCATATACGTGTCCATGAATAAAAATTAATTTTATTATTCCGGACACTTCGCCGACCCTTCTTAGACACTTCGCTGACACTTTGCCGACATTTCTAACACAAGTCTACCCGGTGATCTTGAAAATAATATGAATACTATTGTGACAAAGTAGTAAATAATGATATATATGATATAAAAATCATTACAATAATGACATAATTTTATTTTCTAATTCATTTCATAACAACTCTTTGTATAGAAATTATAAATGAATTAAAGTTTTATAATACTATTATTGAATAAATGTATAAAAATAAAAATTTATATTTATTTGTAGCCGTGATCACGCCGTACTCGTGTCTTATTTTTTTAAAATTTGACGTGTCGATGTATCCGTGTCGTGTCGTGTCGTATCGTATCGTATCCATGTCCCGTATCCATGTCCGTGCTACATAGCTTATATATGTATATATATACGGATTATAAGTAAGGATTGACTTGCTGAACGATGATAGTGTAAGCAATTTCTTGCTGAGCTTGTGAGCTCACCCCTTTATCCCTTTCAGGTGCACATGGATTTAGCTTGCAAAGGAGGCTCAAGGGGAGATGGAGATTTTCCGGATTTTCCACTTTTATTTTATTATTGTTTCTTAGCGAAACAGTTTGTAATAAGGTTCACTTAGTGGTGGAATTTTAATTTGTTGGTGGATGTAATAGATTTCCTTTGTAACGATCCGAAAATTCTAATACAAGAATCATCAAATTACATCAAAAATCTCACAGGATCAAAAATAAAAACAACCTCCATAATGCAAAAGATCCTCAAATATATAAGAATTCAAAGCCCTAAAATATAGTCTAAATAATCTCCAAATAGGCATAAAAATTCTGCAACACAGCTCCACCCCTAAGCCTGCAACTAGGAATCCCCGATCCTCTTCGATACTTGAAACTGGAGGGTGGTGAGACGGAACGTCCCAGTACGAAAAACCATAACAAAAATTTCAAGGAGGTTTCATGAAAGTTAGCTTCATAAAATATACATTTGCTTTTGAACAAAAATACATATATGCAATTTGAGCAAAATAATAGTCTAACAAAATATGTGAAGCTAAATTACCTCAAGCCATTCAAGGTATAGAGAACCCTACCCATAAAAGTAATTTTCCTCACTGGTTCTGCAAAATCTCAAACTCTCGGCCTTCTCTGCATCTCTTGGCCCTCTACTTTCCTCTAACTTTTGCCGGCCAGCCCCATTTTTCTTCTTTTAATTTCTCTCCCCCCCTGGACACCATCTCACCCATCAAACAACACACACACACACACCATATAATATGTGACTAAAACAAAATCCACCTTCTGTGTAAATGAATCCCACTCAAAAACAAACACGGAAGACAAAATGTAACTAACCCAAATAAAATCCCATAAATCAAGTCTTCTTAAACAACAAACCCATGTTAAATAAACAAAAGGATAAAGGTAGCCTAATAAAATAATAAAACAAAATCTCCTCCACTTTAATCAATTATCCAACTCATAAAACTTAACAAAAATTAGCCCACTAATAACTCCAATAATCAATCTTTGAAAACTAAAAATGATGAAATAATATAATTTAAAATCCTAAAAATTCGGGTTGTCACATTCTCCATCATTTAAGAAGAATTTCATCCTCAAAATTTAGATCTAACAGTTTTTACATATCCGAAAACATCAACAATCACAAAATAAAATTCATAAATCCTTACCCCAAGCGATGTGAGATACCGTGACATGTAGGACGTTGTGGTAGCTAGACAGTGCTAGTCACCCACCCACACACTCTGCAACCGTTGTGGTGGCTAGCTGATGCCGTCACCCGCCTACTCAAAATACAACCAGTAACAAACTAGGGCCACATGCCCAATTACAAGAACTAATCATCCCCAGTAGCTAGCCAGTGAATGACATTCGCCCACACACACCGGCTACAAGTCGTAGCTCGCTGATGCTAAACACTCGCCCACTCACACCAGTCTACATCGTTACTACACTCACACCAGTCTACATCGTTACTACACTCACACTTCCGGCTGGGTACAGGCTCTGATACCATTCTGTAACGATCTGAAAATTCTAATACAGCTCCGCCCCTAAGCCTGCAACTAGGAATCCCCGATCCTCTTCGGTACCTAAAATTGGAGGGTGGTGAGACGGAAAGTCCCAGTAGGAAAAACCATAAGAATTTCAAGGAGGTTTCATGAAAATTAGCTTTATAAAATAGACATATGCTTTTGAACAAAAATACATATATGCAATTTGAGCAAAATAATATAGTCTAACAAAATATTTGAAGCAAAATCACCCCAAGCCATTCAAGGTATGGAGAACCCTACCCATAAAAGTAATTTTCCTCAATGGTTCTGCAAAATCTCAAATTCTCGGCCTTCTCTACATCTCTTTGCCCTCTTTGAACTCTCAACTTTCCTCTAACTTTTGCCGGCCTGCCCCATTTTTCTTCTTTTAATGTCTTTGTGTCCCTGGACACCATCTCACCCATCAAACAATACACACACATACATATATATAATATGTGACTAAAACAAAATCCACCTTCTGTGTAAATGAATCCCACTCAAAAACAAACACAGAAGGCAAAATGTAACTAACCCATCACTTTCCTCCATTATCTTAACAATATAAAATAATAATAAAATCCCATAAATCAAGTCTTGTTAAACAACAAACCCACGTTAAACAAACAGAAGGATAAAGCTAACCTAATAAAATAATAAAACAAAATCTCCTCCACTTTAATCAATTATCCAACTCATAAAACTTATTAAAAATCAGCCCACTAATGACTCCAATAATCAATCTTTGAAAACTAAAAATGATGAAATAATATAATTTAAAATCCTTAAAATTCGGGTTGTCACAGTTGACATCTTCTTATGGTCTGATCTGAAAAGTTAAACTCATTTTCTCTGTAACCAACCTATATTTCTAACTTGTTATCCTCTCCATTAAAATTGAGTTGGAATCTTTCATTTGCTTGTAATATGGCTTTTTCTGATTACTGTGATAGCAACTATACGATATGCATACATGGGCCACTCCTGTACCTTTGGATCCACGAATGTTATTTTTATTCTTTTTGTGATTGATGTAGCTTCATCCCTTTTTTGGTTTTTTCTTGAGTGAACTATAAAGGCTTAGTATTTTATCTTTTACTAGCAGTTTTTTACTTCTCTACGAACATTATTGTATTCTTCTCATACCATCACAGGCTTAGTAGTTAATCTTTAGATGTCCTGCAATTCTTTACCTTCTTACTATATTCCTTATACTGTTACTATCACTAATAACCTTTTTGTTTGATGCAGTTCTTCCTGATTTTGCTCAAGTATACAGCTTCATTGGCAGTGTCTTCGACCCAAACACTACTGGTCATTTGCAAAAACTAAAAAAGATGGATCCAATAGATGTTGAAACGGTATGCTTTCTAAGCTAACTGTTTTGGTCATTATTTGGCTTTATTGCAGTAGAATTCTTTTCAGTTTTCACTTATAAAAAATAAAATACAATAAAATAATAAAATAAGATGCAGTAGAATTCTTTTCTTGTACTATGTTTAATCACAAGTTCCTACATTGAAGCTAAAGAAAGAATAGAGAAAAAAAAATACTGCTTCTGTGAACAGAATTCTGCTCCTTTGCCGCTGAAATCTATCAAAACTCTGTCCGGGTTGTATCTTTTTTATGTTTTTAAATATTTTAGGAGTGGGAAAAGAAAATTCCTTGATATCATTATTTTGTTAATTATTTAGTTATTTTCTCCATTTGAAAGCTATGGGGGCAATACTTTGTATAGATTAGTTTCAATCAGGATGAACCACAAACCCCTTGATTGGTGGGTGAGAATCCAGCATCCCTGGATCCTCTGCGATATGTTGAGCCAACTTTAAGAGTTGCAAAAATTCAAAGAAATGTTTAAATCAAAATAATTTACTAGTTGAAAAATTGAATTTTGATTCAAAATATTTTATAATTGAAAGTTTTCTTTTGCTTTAGTAGCTACTTTGATTACTATTTTCATGGTAAAGGGTAAACGTGTACTTGACAGTCCTGCATGTGTGGGCTTGATGTGGCACACCCTTATTGACATCCCCAAAGCACATTTTTTTTTTCTTTTTGTGGATGATCCTTATAGAATTCAAACCTAGTTATTTACTATTCGAAATGTGCACCTAAAAGCACATATTTGTATGCCCAATTGAGAAGTCCAGTCTTACATATTATGTAATATTGGGAAAAAAAATCTCCTTATATGGAAGGCTTTAAAAAAAATCTCTGTACTCGCCTTTTTTTCAATTCTCTAACTTACATTTAACTATGAGAACATAATAGGTTGTTGATCTAGCTCTCTCAGCTACACATTAACATTATTTTATATTTTCTTTCTAATTTACATGATTCGTATGATCGGTGAATTTAGGGCTGGCCTTGGCACAACGGTAAGGTTGTTCCTTTGTTATCTGGAGGTCACAGTTTTGAAACAGAAAACAGCCTCCTAAGAAGCACGGACACTTATATGAGGTGCTGTGACCATGTCGGTCTTTCCTGGACATGTCTTCGACTCTTCATGACCGTGTCCATAATTTAAAAATAATTTTTATTATTTATGACACTTGGTCAAAACATCTTGAACACTTGATCGACACAACTCAGACATTTGGTCGATACATTTCGGACACTTAATAACATATCCCCTACTCTGTCTTATATAAAACAAACATATGTCAGTCCTAGAAACGACTTATATGAAAGTGTCAAACCTAATTTCCTTAAAAAATTTACATTAAACACATATCGTAGTATGTAATATGAATAAAACATAACAACAATGACAAGATCGAATAGTAATATCATATATTAAAGTTCTATAATTGTCTTTCTCAGTAGATATATAAATGAGAATTTATATTTATATTAGCCGTGCCCACGCCTGTCCGTGTCCTATATTTTAGAATCTGACGTGTCGGTGTATCCATGTTGTATAGTGTCCATGTCCATGCTTCTTAGAAAGCCTCTCTGCATTTGGAGGTAATGTTGTGTACATCCAACCCTTCACAGACTCCACAATGGCGGGAGCCTCGTGCACCAGCTGCCCTTGCGTGATCTGTGAATTGATTCTGTTTTATAATTGAACATACATAGATGTGTCTCATGTGCGCAGTTCTGTTAGAGCAATACAAACAAAAACATAAAATTAGATTTATTTACTCTTTTAATTTATAGTATATTTATAAAAAAATAATTAAAAAAAAATTAAAAAAGAAAAGAAAAAAAGAAAAGATGAAATTTGTAGTCATCGTAATTTAACTAGTGCAGAAGTATGCTTTTGTACTGTGATTAAATTTTATTTATAGAACTCTTTAATTTTTCTTGTTTGGTCTTTTAATCTACTTGACTTGTTAAGAGGATGTCTTCTACATGACTACTTTTAACTTACAGATTTTTGTTTTTGATATGAGTCCGTGGTGACAGATTAAGAGTTTTTATATAGTTACTAATATCATAAATGAGATGAAAATGAAATATGACTATCCCCATCAGACATGGCATTAGGCCAATAAAGTATTTGGAAATGGTCAAGTTAGGTCATGCTTCGGAAACAGCATTTCTGACAAATCTTTTTGCCCCCTCCAGGTGTTGCTGTTGATGAGAAATCTGTCCATCAATTTGTCAAGCCGTGATTTTGAGGATCATGTAAGTGCCCATACCATGTAGGGCTTGCATTTAATTTTCTTGATGCAGTGGTGGATGACGTTTCTGGGTAAAGAAAATTATTAACTGATGTTAGTTGAATTGGGAAAGCTGCTGTTTGTATTACTAAGTCCCGCAGCAGCTTAAAGTCCTGGTCAGTTGACAGTGTCCAAGACAATATCTGTTCGCTTGTTTTGGCCTAATTTATTGTTAAAATCCTGTATAATCCTTAATGGAAGAGTACGTGATATATACAGTCTTTCTGGTTGGTAAAGGGGTCAAACAGCATTTTTTGCATCTATATTGATTTGACAAAGAGTGTGTTGGTAGGTTGAATGGCTATTGGTTAGTCTTTCATCTTTCTTGGTCTCTGATACATTATGTTTTGCAGAGGAGGCTGCTTTCATCCTATGAGATTGACTCAGAGAAGGATAACTCTGGCGGTTTACCTAAAACTCTTCAGGATAGTCGATCTGAGTGTGCTACTCAGCATGGGTAAGCAATGGAAACAGTCTTCCCACCTCTTTTATTTGCACAACTTTGTTGCTTAATTTATTTATATCACGCAACCTGTTCTGATCAAATAAAATATTGCAGGGCATAGAAATATTCAGCAAGCGACTGTAGCTGCGAAATGTCAATAAGATCCTCTGGTTTACTGGTTTGTAAGTACTACTTTCTGCTGTGAGATCTTTGGCCGTGCAGCTTATTATGTACATAATGACCATAAAAAGAGAGAAAAAATTAATATTTAAGCAGAAAAAGTAGGCCATGCGGGAATGTAAAATTCTAGGGTTTTTGTTTTTGTTTTTTTAATGTATATTCAAGTTTTGGCTCTTAGTTTGTTTTACTCCAGGATAAGTGGTACTGGTGTAATGTTGTGTTTGTAATTGTAGTCCTCACTTGTTATTTCCTGGGGTACTTAACTTGCTACACTCTATTAGTTGCTGTGCCTTTCAAAAAAAATTTCCCGTCTTCTTTGTTTATGTTATTGTTGAGATGGATATGGGGAGACTGGGAGCTGGATTTTTGCTGAAGGGGTTTCATGGGTTTGTTTGTGTGTGTGTGTGTGGACACGAGATTTTTGACCTGATGACCCGTGCTTAAGAGTAACAGTTCTGTTTGTTGTTCTCTGCGACCAGAAAGCCTATTTTGATCTTATAGAAGGATGTTTGTGATTCATTTTACATCTCCCCTAAAGATCATAATATGCTGCAAGGAAAACTTGTGATATCCAAGATTTGTGTTGTGTTGCACATGTCAAAAGCTCACGATTAGTTTGTTAGCTGTCTGTAATCACAAGGATTGACATGTCAAAATATAACAATTGTAAGATCATGATCATAATATGCTGTTGGGTAAAGCTCATGCTTTCGCCCCCAAAATATACGAGACTGTTTTTGCCTAGTGGACAATAAAATTTGAATCTATTGTAAACACCTTGTGTCATGTCAGCACCTCTCAGTCATAATGCACATTGAGATTTACACACACACACACACACACATATATATATATATACATATATAATGTTAGATGGGATTACAATTTTAGTATTTGCTCTACTTTTTTAGACCATGGCGCAGTGCCATTCTCCTGTTTTCAAAATAGTGTAAATGTGAGAGTTCCGGTAATGAATGCCATCATAAATGGTTTTGATTTGCGAGAGACCCATAGTTGCGGCGGAGTTTGAAAGGAGTAAGAACCCAATAGGCCTGCGAATGTGCGACGGACTATACTGTTCAATGGGCCCAGAACGACGAAGTGAGATTGGGTCAAGAAGGCAAATTATTATCCCCCGTCTCAATTTACATGGGCCCAGAAGGACGAATTAAAATTCTCTTCTGCAAATTATCACATGATGGGTCCCACTTGATGGTGGCAATCGCTACCATTGATTGCGCATGGAACTGGACCTCTTTGAGGATACCGTTCATACAGGAAAACTACTCACCTTATGTCAAGTCTCTTGATGTTGGCAATCACGTTGTGCATTGGATCAGAGGGGCTACGGGTATCACCTTCGGTCACGGAGAGGATTGGGTTCACAACGTGCAAAATAGAAAAATTATTCACTTTATGACGGATCCTACTTAATGGTGGCAATCAACACCATTAATTGTGAACCTGGAGATACTCCAATACACTGGAGAGGGTATAAGTGATTGTGCATTGGACCTCTCCGTTCCCAGAGAGGATACAGGTTCACGAAGGATCCTACTTAATGGTGGAGGATACAGGTTCACGAAGGATCTTACCTAATGGTGGCAATCAACGTCATTAATTGTGAACCTGGAGAGGCTCCACTGGAGAGGTTACAAGTGATTGTGCATTGGACCTTTCCGTTCCCGGGTTCACGAAGGCACGCATAATAAACAAAATTATTCACGATCCCTGGAGAGGATACATGTTCACGAAGGCACGCATAATAAACAAAATTATTCACGATCCTACTTGATGGTGACAATCACCACCATTAATTATACACCGGAGAGAGGTTATAGGTTCACGACATGCATATGTCTTGTGCAGTGTGAACAGTAATCATGATCTTGCAATTGATCTTGTTGGATCCACAATTATGGACATCATATTTGCTCAAGCATAATAAG